CTAAAATCCGAATTAAAACGAAGAAGTTATGACCCGTCAAAGTTTTGCGACAAAACCGACACGTCGTCGCGTATCGTAAAAAGTGAATTTTTAATAAGCTACTTTTTAGCCTTAGTGATCTAAACAAAAGTCATAGTATATGTTAAACCGGGATCATACATATAGAGAACGTCCAAATCTGACTTTGTTTGAGAAAGTTATGATTTTTCTAAGATTTTGCATAGTAGTATACAACTCGAAAATCGAATTTTAGATCGATCGATTCTTAGCTGACACAACCTAAACAAGAATTGAAGATCTCGTTAATAGGAGCTCAACGATATAGAGACAGTCAAAAACGGACGTCGGATGACAAAGTTATGAATTTTTAACGAAGTTTAACTGTCTAAGCCTGTTAAAATATAACTTTAAAAATAAAGTCAAAATTAGTCGACGGAATCTAAACGAAAGTTGTAGATCACGTCGATACCTATGCGTGGATATAAAGAACATGAAAAATGTAGCTCGTATGCGAAATTTACCGATTTTAGAAGATAATTAGTTTTTGGAGTAACCAGCGAGTGACACATGGCACGATCTGGGCCGCACCTTCTTCCCCACGGCTTGGAACAAGATTGTGACACCGGGAACCGGAACGCCCAACGTTCAGCTCTTGAACGCCCCACGTTCGTAGCTCTTCCAGCCTATAAATAGAAGGCGCAAATCACTTGTTTTCTCACACCTTTCTCAACCCTTCTCTCTCAAACACCCCCAAAGCGTCAAGACTTTTCTCTAGCCTTTCTTAGGAGTTAGAAGTGAGTCCCAGAGCACCAGAAGGCCCTAATAAGAAGAGCTTTGGCTCAGAAGTTTTGCCCGCGTAGAGCCTGGTTCCTCGCTAAACCCCCTTGTATTTGAGTTATGCTTACCATACTTCAAGTATAACTTATGTTTAAGTTCATTATCGTTATGACGAACCTATAAACACGATTTATCAGTGATTCCAAGTCGTTATACTTATTGATCTAATTTTGGGGATGATGTCTAGGTTATGAATTATTGAGGTGTTTAAAGTGGAATTTCCAAACAGTATACTTCGTATACCAAACAGACCCTACCTCCAATATGATCTTACATGGTTGTTCCTTACTTGATAGATCTTGAAGTAGACGTTGAGTTAATGATGAATCTAAACTAATAATTAGTCGCAATAAATATTAGACTAAAAGTTAGTGATAATAATACTAGGTTTCCTCAACGGAAAAGACAATTGTTAGAAGCAAAACGCTGCCCGAATTTCGAATCGTCACTTTAACAAGTGAGTGCATAATTACTTTCATCTTACACATAGATATGAAGTATCTAGATAATTAGATGCTTATGTGGTTATTATTTGTGCTAAGAATATTATATGTTAGATAAGATATTATGAGATGATATTTAACCGATTTAATCATATAAATATTATATACTTATAAATATGTATTGGGTAGCGACGAGTGATGAGAGATAGGTGATGATAGACATGTGATGATAACCAGATTATGATAGATAGGTGATGATAAATAGGTGATGCGAGATGAGAAATGATTAGGAGATGCCACAATCTTGACCTACGATGTTGCGATGTTGCGATGTAGTCATCTACCAGAGTATAGATGGCAACCACTGACTGATCTAAACAAGTCATGTGGAAACACTGGCAGGCTCATAACCTGTAGGTGATGAATTACGAGTTCAGGTGATGTAGTAACTACGTATTCATGCGATGATACTCTAACCCTTACTGGACACGTAGTGGGGGAGTAATCCCCGAATCAGTACTGTCTATGCGATGTAGACGATGATCTTTAGGAAAAGTCCTTAGGAACAAACATATAAGGAAATGCGATGTAAGGTGATGAGAGGTAAATACAATGTAAGAGACGACCCTTAGGATAAATCCTTAGGGAAGAATAAATAAAGTAAATGGGGATGGGTAATCGGGTTAATTGTTTGACATGAAATATGTGAAGAAACAAATTAACTATATTATTATGGGTTGAAAACCCTATGTAATCACCAAGTTTCCCAACCTGACCCACGCAGTTTATTGTATCACAGGTGGCTATATGAAAGATACATTGTGCTGAGAGATTCAATGAGTATTAGGCCACTAGTTTAATTACTGTAAGGCTTGTAATATTTCGTCATGCTCATGTTTCTCTATTGACGATGACATCCTAATGTTTTAATATAAATAAAAATACATTTCTTCGGAAATGCTTTGATAATATTATTATCATGTTTTTCTGGGAACAAATTCCGCAATACTATTTTTCAAAAAGGCTACTCTGATTTTTAAATAAGCATAAACAAATCGGTCTTTTGTGACCGTAAAATTGGGCATGTCACAGTTGGTATCAGAGCATTAGTTTAAGCGAACTAGGAATTTCAGGAAATTTCTAGACTTAAACCTAGAATGCTAAGCGATGATCACGAGGAGTGTGTCTATTATATTTTAGATAGTACACCTGAATTGACACAAGCACTAGTTTACTTTAGGATTAGATGCCTACGTTGATTTTATGTGCTAAATGATTTATGCTATAAGATGCCTTATATGCTTTATGATGCTATCATTTGATCGGATATGTGGTCTATTTCCAACCGGATCGGGAAATTTTATGTGTTCAGATTTCTAAACATTTAACTACGATATTAGAACTGGAATGTAACTTTTCGGAGTAATAAGGAGGATTATGCGTCTAAACCTTCTCTATCTTAAATTTCTAGTCTTGAACAACTGTTATGGTGTATGGAACGTCATGATATGGACTCGTATCAGACTGAGAAAATAGAGGAAATAAGAAAGCTAGTGATAGTGAATGATACCTATGCGAAGATACTGTAAGAGAGGTATCTTGACTTTAGAATGCGTCAAATAAATAATACGTCTCGTACGGGAGAAGTACACTATCGATTGGTAGAAAGAAAGAAATTTTGGTATAACCTATGAATTAATCCCATCGTCTGGTATTTTCACCACCAATCGAGTTGAAGCAGAATTGATGATTGAAGATACGCACGGAAGAAGTTGTTGGATTAGGTGTCTAAGTTCATAACTATTTCTGGAATGTACTTGACCCGGTTGGCATGGTCCATTTGGGTTGCATGACATTGCAACACTTGGATAGACTAAATGAGAGAAATGACACTTATGGTTTATTAATATATTATAAGTTCTAATATATTAATAATATTATTTAATTAGTATTGATCAAGAATTAATTTAGAATTAATTTGGTGATCAAAAGGAGACTAATTAAATATATGGGGTTGATTGTGTAAATCATCCATTCTTTTATAGTGGGCTAATGATCCATGGTTTATTAAGTTGGGCTAAAACCCATAAGGTGCTCCATGGATAGTCCATGGAGGTTATAAACCCATGGATCATGGAATATGAAAATCCATGCACATTAGGGTTTACATGGAGTAACCCTACATGTGACACACTATATAAGAAGCTCCATGGCTAGCAAAATCGGTTACTAAGAGAGAACAAGAGGGCTAGCCGATTGTGATTGTGTGTGGACTTCTCTCAAAGTAATTCCAAGAGTTGTGGTATTGTGTGAAACATTTGAGGCATCACACTTGAGGTGCTAGGCTCACAAGGTTCTCAAGGAATCCAAGCAACAAGAAAGGTATGTTCTCCTACTAGCTTTATGTTTCAAAGTTCCCCATGCCATGCTAGTTAGGTTAAGAACCTTGGAAAATCAAATTTGCATGTATCTTAGTAAAACATAGATCCAAGGTTTCTAGGGTTGCATGTACACCTTAGGAGTGTTAGAATACTCAAAACCCTACAGTGGTATCAGAGTCTAGGCTTGTTTTCTTGATACTTGATGCGAATTGTTGAAAAAACTCAAGATTTCTGCATTCTGCTAAGTGAACTCGCTGAGTCCATGGGGGGACTCGACGATTCCATGTGTTATTTCATCCTACTCGTCGAGTAGGTTCTTGCACTCGACGAGTAGGAGGCCATGAATGCAGATTTTCGAGTTTTGCTGCTGGAAATGGACTAGAAACATTACCCTAAACTGTTTTGGTCTTATAAAACTTGTTTTAGATGGTGTAATGGTTATGCTAATCCATTTACAATGGCTATTATCAAAATTTCAAGTTTTATATGTGTTTATATGATTCTTGAAATTGTTGATATAAATGTTCATATGCTTATGAGTTTTGTTAGATCATAGGAATTATTTGCAAATTGTTTGTTAGTTAATTCTTGATCATTATGTGTTTTAATGGAATCCATAATTTTTCCTCAAGTTATGGATTACCAAAAGTCACTCCTTTTAAAGTCCATTAATGAACACATAGGTTACATAAAATGAAGAGTCTTCATTTTAATAAACTAATAACTCATAAGTTATGAAGTTGAAAAGTTTTGAATAGTTACAAAACTTGCCCTCAAGTTTTGGAACATGTAAAGTCACTTTAGAAAACTTTAGTTCCAACCCCTAGAATTTTAAAAGTTAAAATTCAACCATTATACTTTATAATATTATAGGTTAATAATATATATATATATATATATATATATATATATAGGAGTATGATCAAATGAGAACACCTAAAAGGTTGAGAACGCGAGAACAGATCTAGACCATCTAAATATTCAAATGTAAGGCTATTATCAGACGGACCATTTATGTAAATTCTGAAAATTATTGGTATTAAAGTGTAACTTTAAATGGTGAAAAGGGTATAATAGTAATTGAATGTTTATTTAATTTCTATAACTTCTCACACGCTGATATCTTTCCTTTTAATTTGTCGTCTCTCTCTCTCTCTCTCTCTCTCTCTCTCTATACCTAGGGCACGCTTCGTCGCCTCCCTCATCTATACACCACCAGAGCATCTAAAAATGTGAAACAGATGAGAGAGTACACGAGGATTCAGAGAGATCGAGAAGGAGGAGGGGGAAGAAGCGGTGATGGAGTTATGTTGGCGGCGAACAGTGGCAGACCCCAGCGATGACTTTCGTTCTTCATCGTCTCGATGCAGAGTTCCGATCATCGTCACCGGTAACGACTTCTCCACCCTTTACGCTCCCCTCATCCGTGACGGACGTATGGAGAAATTCTACTAGGCTCCGACGAGAGAAGACAGAATCGGTGTCTGCATCGGAATCTTCAAAACCGATGGTCTCTCTCCTGAAGGTGTTACGAAGCTTGTCGACACTTTTCTAGGACAATCCATCGGTATTCTTTCTTCTGTAAATTAACCTCGGAAAATGTTAAAATATATGTATATATATAACTTATGAATGATTTCTTGTTCAGATTTCTTCGGGGCATTGAGGGCAAGAGTGTACGATGATGCAGTGAGGGAGTGGATTGGAGGTATTAGAGTGGAAGGCATAGGGAAGAGGCTTGTGAACTCAAGGGAAGGGCCTCCGACATTTGAACAACCGAAGATAACAGTTGAGAAGCTGTTGGAGTATGGGAACATGTTGGTTCAAGAACAGGATAAGGTGAAGAGAGTGCAGTTGGCGGAGACTTATTTGGACTCGGCGGCGCTCGGAGATGCTAACAGGGATTCCATTGTTAGAGGAGAGTTCTATGGTGAGCTTAGTTAATCGTTAAAAATGGATTTGATGAGATTTAATGGAAGTGTAAAATGGATTTGATGAGATTTAATGGATTTGGTGAGCTCAGTTGGCGGTGATGGAGTTAAGTTATGCACATAAGGTGCTCGATGAAATGCCCGAATTTAGAAAAATGGAACTTGAATGCTTGCAGTTGTAATCTTATATGAATATAATGTTAGATGTCTCATTTTGCAGGTAATCATCAATGAATACTCCATGAGGCTGGTCCGAGAGGAGCAAGGCAAACAACCACAACCAGTATATTTATGTGTGAATTTATGTTTGAATGACTATATTTATTTACGAATAACAGGGTATTCATTTGTGAATATTAGTGTATTTATGTGTGAATGACTATATAATTATACATAATTGTTTCATTAACATTTTTGCAGATACAATGAATAAACATGCATATAGTGGGAGGTGGAAGATTTACCAAATGAAACACCGACACCAATACCTCTTTTGGAAGGAGAAAAAATATGTTTTATTCATTGATGATTGTAATTGTAGCACTAGTTTCCGTGTCAAAAAAAATATATATTGTAACTTATTCATTTACTATTATAATTATATTCTTATATGAATAGAAATGTGTTTTATTTATTTATATATGAGTACCATTTTAGTTGATTTTATAATCTTTTTTTCGGGTTTTATTCATTTATGATTTTACAAGTGTATTCATAAATACAACTGAGTTAATTCATTTATAATTTACAATTTTATTCATTTTTAAATGTAATGTATAAATCATTATTTATGAAGATATTTTTTTAAAAAATAAATGAGGTAAACCGATAAATTATTCATTATCAAATGTTGTTAGTAAAAATAAAAATATAAAACAAATAAACGTTTTTTTTAATTCATGTTAAATGATATTTTTATTAATTTATTAATTAAAAGGAAGATTTTAAGTATTCTTAATAACTGGGGAAAAAATTCCCATGATTTTCGGAATTGATTAATTACTTTCCATTTATCCATATGTAATTAAATTGTAAAATGCCTCTAATGCCCTTATAAAATAATTGGTCCACAACTGTTCTCGCGTTTTCAACCTTTTAGGTGTTCTCATTTGATCATTTCCCTATATATATATATATATATATATATATATATATATAATATATATATATATATATATATATATATATATATATATATATATATATATATATATATATATATATATATATATATATATAAGAACAAGTCGTTTTACCGTTAGTAGGCCTCATTCACGAAACCGATCTATAAGGGGGGTATAAGGTTGTTGCCTATAAAATGATAGCTTAATGGGTGTCCACTCTCACCCACCGCTTACTTGACTGGTGGAGGTTCGTTGGCCGAACGGGTAGGACAATGAATTTAAATCCTCATTAAAAGTATGATGGTTATAAAGTAACTAAATGTTTTTTTATAAATTCCCAATCTTAGTTACTTTAGGAAAAATGTGAATATGATGCTAACCAATGAAATTACACTTTGCACTTTGCTTAAGTCGTTAGTGGAGCGTGTGTGGTTAACTGGCACACTAACCTGGACTTAAAAAGGTAGGAAAAGGGTGGCTTAAGGTTTATCATAGATCGGTGGAGCGCATGTGGTTAACCGGCACATCGATTAGGTGATAAACATTAAGAGTACCAAGTAATTTGCATGGTTAATTCACACCTTGTTCTGTGATCCTCGGCATCCCAGTCACAAAACTTGAAGGGCACATTCGAGATTGAAACATGCCATTGAAAACTTCAATGAATCTCAAAAGAATCTAGGAGTTTCAAAACCAATTAAAAAACCTAATAATTTATTTCGTTTTTCATGGTGGAAATTGGTGAATCATCATTCACCTACCTTCAAATATTTTATAGTTTGGATTACGACATCCCTCTTCTAAGTTATAAAATATTGTGTTGGGTCCTAGCCTTAATATTACATTTGGGTGTCTTATTATGGACTATCTTTATATCTAATCTAAACTTGTACATCTTTCTTTTCAGATGTCTTCCAACAATGCTGCTTCTGGCTCAAATCCTACCGGCTCCTTCTCTCTCATGAACCTTTGTGGGAGAGTCATCTTCGATGGTTCCAACTTTATGGATTGGATCCGGAACATCAGGATGATCACTCGTTACGAGGACAAGGAATATGTCCTCGACAAGGAGCTTAAGGAACTTGATGAGTCGTCTGCTACTCCTGAGGAGATCGCTGAATACCAGACTCATGAGAGAGATGCCACCAAAGTGGCATGTATCATGTTGGCCATGATGACAGTAGAGCTCCAAAAGTCCTATGAGGACTATTACCCTTTTGAGATGCACCAGGACTTGATGGACCGCTACCATGAAAATGCTCGTCAAGAGAGGTATGACATCATCTCCTCCATGATAACAACCCGGATGAAGGATGGTGAACCCATCATGGGCCACATGCAGAAAATGCAAAGGTATGTGGACCGTTTGCTGAAATTGAATGTGAACTTCCCCCGAGGAGTTGGCAATTGACATCATTTTGCACTCCTTACCTTCGTGTTATGATCAATTTTGGATGACATATCACATGAACAAGGAGGAAGTTACACTCAGCAAACTTCAAGGACTTTTGAAGACCGCGGAAAGTGGTCTTAAAAGTAAGTCGGTTGTTACTACTCCTACTCATACCGCGACCCCTGTCTTGTCAATCGGGCAAGGTAAAGGGAAGAAGAGGAAGAGCCCTTCGAAGGGTACGAAGGGAAAGTCCCTTGATGGATCCTCTTCAAGTGGAACCAAAAGAGGTTCTGTCACTCATTCTGCAAACCCTAAAAGAGACTGAATGCTTCTATTGCCATGAAACGTCGCACTGGAAGCGAAACTGCCCAAAGTATCTGCAAGATGTTAAGGATGGGAAAGTGAAACCCAACCATGCAGGTATTTACACTATATTGTCTAATAACTCACCCTATTCTAATTCTTCGGTCCTTGATATAGGTTGTGATATTCACATATGTTCTGATTTGCAGGGACTAAGAAGAAGTGAAAATGTGGAGCATGGGAAGTGATGAGAATATTGCGCTATAGATCGATAGATTCGAAACAGAAAAACAATATTAATAAAGTAAAGAACATAGGAATGTATCAAATGGTGTCGAATGATTAATATCTCACACCTCAGAAGAGCTCGATGAAGAACTTCGACTGTAGAGGTGTGCTAGGGTTACAATGCAAAAGCAATTAATGAGAACGATAACCTGAAAGCTATACATGCATGCATAATATATACGATAACCCTAATGATAATCCACGGTTGGACAGGCCCAAACCGGGTAAACAAAATATCAACATTAAGCCCATATGATGCAACACTCTGTACCCAACAATCTCCCCCTTTGCATCTCACTAGAGGCGAGATACTAGTTCGGTTGAGAAAGAGCATACTTCTTCACTGTCTTGAACACCTACGGTATAATGGCCAAAAGAGTGTGACGAAAAGTTATATACCACCGAAGCATGTCAGAGAAGTTCTTCTTATCCGAATCACTGTTATGTTTACACCTGTGAGTTATATCAAGTACATGCTCCAAGCAGGAAGTGGAGAACAGGTGTTTGTCAACAAGAGCGAAAAGGAATTTTTCACCTTCACTTCTAGTGAACATAACAGTGTGATGAACTGGATCTATCTTGCCCGATTTCATCTTATTTAGATCACTCGGCTTCCCGATAGGCTTCACAATAGTCTTCTTTCTCAAAACGTTTGCAATCTCCTAATCCATCTTAGCAACTTCATGGATGTAGGAGCCCAACATTCTCTTAATGTGATCGAGGATCGGCTCATACTGCTCTTGACTAGTAAGCAGAATATTGAACAACAGAATCCAATCATGTGGGTTCAGATTTGGAAGATCAGCTAACGAAATTATATGAACCGAGTTGTCAGAACCTCGAGTCACCCTGAACTTCACATTGATAAATTTGCCAGCAGTATGGGGTTTCAATACATTTATAGAGGTTATTTTCTGAGCACTCCATGTCAAGTATTGGGGTTGGGCAAATTCAAGATAATAATCGATTAGATCTCGATCAACCTGTGGGTGAGGAGAAGGAACTTCAACCATTGAATCAAAACAATGGAACACGAATGCCCTACAGGTGATGGGCATGTCAAATTGAGAATCCCTCGTGTTTTCACATTCAAACGATGCAACAGGTTCCAGCCAGTGAGTGCTGGGAGACTCAATAACTTCTTTGATTAATCTTTCCCGGGTCCAAGGGGGAAAGAGAGCCTGCTTGCAAACCAGAGCATCTTGATCTTCTTTCTACTTTCGCTCTTTCTCTTCTTCCTCTCTGGCTAATCTCAAATTTTCATCAATGTCTTTATCCCTTTTCTTCCTCTTTAAAGCCTCAGCAATCATTTCTTCTTCTTCATCATCACTATCTTCCACAACATCTTTCAGTTTTTCCTGTGCACCAGAACTCGAAGGTACATTAACCTTTGGATCGGTTTTGATAATGACTTTGGGTGGAATTGGAGGATTTTGATCAGCTTCTCCCCCCTTGTTGCGGAGTGACCACGGGCTCCGTAACACCCTGAATCTGACTCAATATCTGAATAGCAGGAAGAAGTCTAGCAGTCAAGTGATTCCGGATAGTAAGGGTGAGAACAGGATCATGAGCATTAACAAGATTACTGAGAATCGAGAGAACATTCCCAACACAACATTTAAGAACTGCCCGCTCAGTCTTAAGTGATGCAATTTCCGTCTGGGCTTGAGAAAGATGAGCTGACTGGACTTCAAGTTGTGTAGTCTTTTGAGCAAGTTCGTCCATAATCTTCTTTTCCGTGGCCAGGTCAGCCTGAAGCTTATCAAGGCGAGAGTTGACCGAAGTGAGAAGAGAAGTGTGATCAGCTTGGAACTCAGTTCGAACAGAATCAAATTTTGCTTTCTCTTCTTGAAGGGACTTGGAGAGAGAATCAACAGAAGCATTAACCTTTGCAGCATTGGAATC